GTCACACATTTCATCTTGCTTGCTTAGGCAATACTGGCTGTTCCATCTGTTTTAAACATTTGATGCAGGACATAAACAAGGTTTCCATAGCTTGGAACCTTCGCCTGTTGGGAAATGATGTTCAAGATGACAACGAAAATAACGTCAACCCTGATACAGCCGAACATGATACTGATGATATCGGTTCGTGATCTGATGAGTCCACACGATGTTCCAAAATTACAGATTACGTCAAATCCGAAGTTTTTAAACAATACCTCGCAAATAAGGCGTCCAAAATCGCAGAGCTTCTCAGTAAAACTAAGGGATCGAAACCAATCTTACTCGAAATCGAAGAGTAAACACATTTGGCAAACTAGTAAAAGTAAAATGTCAGAAAGCCGTAAATATCTAATATGTAAATCGCAACGTCATTTATATCGAAAATAATAAGAATAATAACAACAAAAAATTTGAAATATTACCTTGTAGCTTGTGTATTTCGCCGCTATCAGACGATTGTAACCCCAAAAATTAAACATCTTGTCTAAATACAAAACTGAACGTGCTCTTTCGCTTATTTTAAGACTGTTTACTGCACCGATCTTCTTTTTTAAGCTCGCAAAAACCAAAAATCTCGACAGCAAAACATGCAAATAACAAACCGCCATTAAAATGATCGAAATCGGAAATGACGTCATGAAAACCAATTTCTGCGGTGTCCATAACAACCATCATTTATTATGATTAATATGCTAATTATGATCAAGATCATCATAATGATCATCAAAGTTGCCATATCAACCAATATTTATTATGATTAATATGCTAATTATGGTCAAAATCATCATAATGATCATCATGGTTGCCATGGCAACCATCATTTATTATGATTAATATGGTAATTATGATAAAAATCATCATAATGATCATCATAGTTGCCATGGCAACCATAATTTATTACGAATAATATGCTAATTATGATCAAAATCATCATAATGAGCATCATCGTTGCCATGGCAACCATCATTTATTATGATTAATATGCTAATTATGGTCAAAATCATCATAATGATCATCATGGTTGTCATGGCAACCATCATTTATTATGAATAATATGCTAATTATGATCAAGATCATCATAATGATCATCATGGTTGTCATTGCAACTATAATTTATTATGATTAATATGCTAATTATGATCAAGATCATCATAATGATCATCAAAGTTGCCATATCAACCATCATTTGTTATGATTAATATGCTAATTATGGTCAAAATCATCATAATGATCATCATGGTTGCCATGGCAACCATCATTTATATGATTAATATGGTAATTATGATCAAGATCATCATAATGATCATCATAGTTGCCATGGCAACCATAATTTATTACGAATAATATGCTATATATGATCAAAATCATCATAATGAGCATCATCGTTGCCATGGCAACCATCATTTATTATGATTAATATGGTAATTATGATCAAGATCATCATAATGATCATCTTAGTTGCTATGGCAACAATCATTTATTATGATTAATTTGCTAATTATGATCAAAACCATCATAATGATCATCATGGTTGCCATTTAAACCATCATTTATTGTCATTAATGTGCTAATTATGAACAAGATCATCATAATGATCATCATAGTTGCCATAGCAACCATAATTTATTATGATTAATATGCTAATTATGATCAAAATCATCATAATGAGCATCATAGTTGCCATAGCATCCATCATTTATTATGATTAATATGCTAATTATGATCAAAAACATCATAATGATCATCATAGTTGCCATGGCAACCATCGTTTATTATGATTAATATGCTAATTATGATCAAAATATTCAAATGATCATCATGGTTGCTATAACAACCATAATTTATTATCATTAATATGGTAATTATGATCAAAATCATCATAATGAGCATCATAATTGCCATAACTACCATCATTTATTATGATTAATATGCTAATTATGATCAAGATCATCATAATGATCATCATGGTTGCTATAGCAACCACAATTTATTATGATTATTATGCTAATTACGATCAAAGTCATCATAATGAGCATCATAGTTGCTATGGCAACTATCATTTATTATGATTAATATGCTAATTATGATCAAGATCATCATAATGATCATCATAGTGGCCATATCAACCATCATTTTTAAAGATTAATATGCTAATTATGATTAAAATCATCATAATGAGCATCATGGTTGCCATAGCAACCATAATTTATTATGATTAATATGCTAATTACTATCAAAATCATCATAATGAGCATCATAGTTGTTATGGCAACCGTCTTTTATTAAGATTAATATGCTAGATATGATCAAGATCATGATAATGATCATCATAGTTCCATGGCAACCATCACTTATTATGATTAATATGCTAATTATGGTCAAAATCATCATAATGATCATCATGGTTTTCATAGCAACCATCATTTATTATGATTAATATGCTAATTATGATCAAGATCATCATAATGATCATCATAGTTGCCATGGCAACTATCATTTATTATGATTAATATGCTAATTATGATCAAAATCATCAAAATGATCATCATGGTTGCCATGGCGACCATAATTGATTATAATTAGTATGGTGATTATGATAAAAATCATCATAATGAGCATCATAATTGCCATAGCTACCATCATTTATTATGATTAATATGCTAATTATGATCAAGATCATCATAATGATCATCAAAGTTGCCATATCAACCATCATTTGTTATTATTAATATGCTAATTATGGTCAAAATCATCATAATGATCATCATGGTTGCCATAGCAACCATCATTTATTATGACTAATATGGTAATTATGATCAAGATCATCATAATGATCATCATAGTTCCTATTTCAACCATAATTTATTACGAATAATATGCTAATTATGATGAAAATCATCATAATGAGCATCATCGTTGCCATGGCAACCATCATTTAATATGATTAATATGGTAATTATGATCAAGATCATCATAATGATCACCATGGTTGCCATAGCAACCATCATTTATTGTCATTAATATGCAAATTATGATCAAGATCATCATAATGATCATCATGGTTGCCATATTAACCATCATTTATTTTGATTAATTTGCTAATTATGATCAAAATCATCATAATGAGCATCATGGTTGCCATAGCAACCATCATTTATTATGATTGATATGCTAATTATGATCAAAAACATCATAATGATCATCATAGTTGCCATAGCAACCATCATTTATCATGATTAATATGCTAATTATGATCAAAATCATCAAAATGATCATCATGGTTGCTATGGCAACCATAATATTTTTTAATTATTATGGTAATTATGATCAAAATCATCATAATGAGCATCATAATTGTCATATCTACCATCATTTATTACGAATATTATGCTAATTATGATCAAAGTCTTCATAATGAGCATCATGGTTGCCATTGCAACCATCATTTATTATGATTAATATGCTAATTATGATCAAGATCATCATAATGATCATCACAGTGGCCATATCAACCATCATTTATTATGATTAATATGCTAATTATGATCAAAATTATCATAATGAGCATCATGGTTGCCATAGCAACCATAATTTATTATGATTAATATGCTAATTACTATCAAAATCATCATAATGAGCATCATAGATGCCATGGCAACCATCTTTTATTTAGATTAATATGCTAGTTATGATCAAGATCATTAAAATGATCATCATAATTCCATGGCAACCATCATTATTTATGATTAATATGCTAATATGGTCAAATTCATCATAATGATCATCCTGGTTTTCATGGCAACCATTATTTATTATGATTAATATGCTAATTCTGATCAAGATCATCATAATGATCATCATAGTTGCCATGGCAACCATCAGTTATTATGATTAATTTGCTAATTATGATTAAGATCATCATAATGATCATCATAGTTGCCATTGCAACCATCTTTTATTATGATTATTATGCTAATTATGATCAAACTCATTATAATGAGCATCATGGTTGCCATTTAAACCATCATTTATTGTCATTAATTTGCTAATTATGAACAAGATCATCATAATGAGAATCATAGTTGCCATTGCAACCATAATTTATTATGATTAATATGCTAGTTATGATCAAAACCATCATAATGATCATCATGGTTGCCATTTAAACCATCATTTATTGTCATTAATGTGCTAATTATGAACAAGATCATCATAATGATCATCATAGTTGCCATGGCAACCATAATTTATTATGAATAATATGCTAATTATGATCAAAATCATCATAATGAGCATCATAGTTGCCATAGCATCCATCATTTATTATGATTAATATGCTAATTATGATCAAAAACATCATAATGATCATCATAGTTGCCATTGCAACCATCATTTATTATGATTAATATGCTAATTATGATCAAAATCATCAAATGATCATCATGGTTGCCATAACAACCATAATGTATTATAATTAATATGGTAATTATGATCAAAATCATCATAATGAGCATCATAATTGCCATAACTACCATCATTTATTATGATTAATATGCTAATTATGATAAAGATCATCATAATGATCACCATGGTTGCCATAGCAACCATCATTTATTGTCATTAATATGCAAATTATGATCAAGATCATCATAATGATCATCATGGTTGCCATGGTAACCATCATTTATTTTGATTAATTTGCTAATTATGATCAAAATCATAATAATGAGAATCATGGTTGCCGTAGCAACCATCATTTATTATGATTGATATGCTAATTATGATCAAAAACATCATAATGATCATCATAGTTGCCATGGCAACCATCATTTATTATGAATAATATGCTAATTATGATCAAAATCATCAAAATGATAATCATGGTTGCTATAGCAACCATAATTTTTTATAATTATTATGGTTATTGCCCCCCCGGTTACTGCCCCCCCGGCGCTAATATGGCTGCCACGTTTTTTGGGGCTCTTGGATTCTGTTGTAAATTCTTTGTTATATTTGGCTTTCTTAACGCTCTTTTCATGTTTAAAATCGAAAAAATTAGAAGTAGACAACAAGATAGAAGTAATGCTGTCGAGGTATTGCTTCTAAATCGTCAATTTGCGGCAAAATCGATGGCAAGGCAACGATTTCGTCGAACAATCGTGTTATGGGGGCGCCATGGAATGACATTATTGGCGTTCTTGGATCATTCTATTCTTGTAAATATAACTATATCTATGGATGTGCATCCGAATCCTGGTCCAAATAATGCGGATAAGAACAAGCATGTTGACAGTGGTGAACTCCATGGTCGAGTTAGTAGAGGTTTGGTTGCAGTGGATAGGGAGAAGCTCTTATCTTTTCGGAAACTTGCTACGAAGCCGTTGGCCAATGAGATGGCAACGCTGAAAATGTTAGGTATCTTGAAGTATAGAGGCAGGCGTGGTGGTAAGAAAACTATGGTTTTTAGATCAATAGAAGTTGTCAAATCATGTCGCGCTGCAAAACCTAGTTATGTTCATGGCAAGAAAGTCAAGCCTAGATGTCTGATCAGTATACCATTGAAAGCAATGACGAGATCACTAACTAGCCCACATTTAGCGGTTCCCAAATGTTTGTTTGTTAATATATGTAGTCTCGCAAAGACAAATAATAGAGTCAGAGCTGTTGTAGCTCTTGAAGCTGATTTGCGAAATAATGACATTGATGTATGTGTGGTATCCGAAACGCATCTCAAACCTGAACAACCTGATGCCATTGTTAATATTCCAGACTATTCTATATACAGGAGGGACAGAAATTGGTCAGGTAATGACATGAGAAATAAGGGTGGTGTCGCGATATATATTCGTAATAATATCACGGTTGTTGATGTTCACACAGCAACTGATTATGAGGTTATCTGCATAACAATACGTTTGCCCTTAGGACAGCACATGTTGATATGTGGTGTTTATCATCCTCCTAAGTACAATTATCCTGAAGGTGATATAATGAACTACATTGTTAACTTTGCGGATAATGTATTAGATAATCTCCCGGGAACAGTTATTGTTTGTGGCGGTGATCTAAATAAATTAAATGTCAAACGTTTGGAAGAATTATCAGGATGGACGACCCTAGTTGACTTTCCAACGAGGGGAAATAGTTGTTTAGATAATTGTTTAGTCAATTGGTCGGATTTATTTGGAAAATGTTATCCCATCAATATGTTGACGAAAACAGACCATAAAGGCGTTATATTACCAGCTGGAATAAAGCTTCCCCCTGTACGAAGGAAAATCCAAGTTCGTGATCAAAGGGAGCATCGCAAGAATGACTTGTATATGGCACTAGCTCAGGAGAACTGGAATGAGGTTTTTCTGAGTACCGATATTGATCAAGCAGTGAATGAACTTGAGAAAGTTATACATGGCCATTTAGATCGATGTATGCCCTTAAGAACTGTGACTATGTCTTCACGAGATCCGATCTGGATGAGCCCACTAGTAAAGGTTATGTTGCGTGTGAAATCAAGAATATCAAAAGGAAATAAAGATCGTTTGATTGTTTTAAATAAACGGATCTCAGCAGTAATCAATCAAAATAGAACGAAATCTTTACAGGATGTTGGTACACGGGATTGGTGGAAAAGAGTGGACAATATATCGAGGCGCCGTCAGAGAGCTGCTACTTCCCTTGATCATAATTCACTTCGTGACTTAAATACCTATTTTGGCAATGTGTGTACAGATATCAATTATGAAAATCCACAACCACAGGACATTAGTGATGACGTTGAAATTCCAACGGTTAATGAATGGCAAGTGTGGAATACTCTTAAACTTATTAAAAGAACAGCTATGGGTCCGGATTCGATACCGTATACAGTTTGGAAGGATCATGCTGAGCTATTAACTCCTGTAATGACGAAAGTTTGGAATCTGTCACTTAAAACACATACTTGGCCTGTCTCTTGGAAAAGATCTAACATCGATCCATTGGCAAAAGTTGAGTTACCAAAGGAGAATAATGATTATCGTGGTATTAATATAACACCTGTTATAGCAAGAGCTTTCGAAAAGATTGTGTTGAGAGTGCACGCTAAAGATTGTATCGAACAGCATTTGAAGGCATCTCAGTTTGCCTATAGGAAGGGTGGTAGCTGTACTGATGCATTAGTGGCGGTTCAACATACTGTTAATCAATACCTTGATAACCCAGAATGTAAAGCTGTTCGTGTTTTTGCCATGGATTTTAGTAAGGCCTTTGACAGCGTAAAACATAGTTTATTATCGGAGAAATTTAGGCGAATTGGTCTTAATCCATACGTATTCAACTGGTATCTTAGCTTCTTAAAAGATAGAGAACAAAGAGTTGTCAGCAATGGATTTGTTAGTGTCTGGACACGTGTGAATAAAGGAACTACTCAGGGTAGTGTGAGTGGCCCACAATTGTTCAACGTCTTTATTAATGATCTTGAGATATTATCGGCATCAGAGTGTGGGTTGGTTAAATACGCGGATGATTCCACTATTATATCCCCAGTCTGGAAAGAGAACGATGCTTCTGACGATATGGTTCAACAGTTTTTAGAGTGGTCAAGTCGTAATTGTATGAAGAGTAATCCTACTAAATGTAAAGAGTTGATTATTCGGAAGAAAAGCTGTACTGAAATATTTCCTGTGGTCGCTGGCATCCCGCAAACGCCATCTATCGTTTTGTTGGGAGTTACATTCCAAGAAGATAGCCGATTTACAATTCATGTTTATGAAAAGCTTAAAAAGGCCAATAAGTGCCTTTTCATCCTAAGATCACTGCGCAAAGAAGGCTATAATCAGAAAGAGATTGATCACTTATTTACCACCTTAGTTCTACCAAATATTACCTATGCTGTTTCAGTATATGGTGCCTCCAAACCCGAACTTGCAAAAATTGAATACTTTTTGAGACGATGTCATAAACGTAAATATATTTCGAAAGAAATTAGAGTGCAAGAATTGCTGGAAAAGCAAGATAGAAAACTTTTTAGTAAGGTCAGGCAAATTGAACAGCACCCATTAAGAAACTTGTTGCCAAAGAAGAAAGTCAATAGATATGAACTAAGAAATAAATTTAGTAACTTTCCAAAGATTAACACAGATCGTTTTAAAAATTCTTATATCAATCGTCTCATTTTTAAATATAATCTAGTATTGTAAATTGTTTCATCTTGTAATCTCAAATGTAACATAAGATATGTATTTTTTATCCTGTGAAGAAATAAAGACATTTATTATTATTATTATTTATTATTATGATCAAAATCATCATAATGAGCATCATAATTGTCATATCTACCATCATTTATTACGAATATTATGCTAATTATGATCAAAGTCTTCATAATGAGCATCATGGTTGCCATGGCAACCATCATTTATTATGATTAATATGCTAATTATGATCAAGATCATCATAATGATCATCACAGTGGCCATATCAACCATCATTTATTATGATTAATATGCTAATTATGATCAAAATTATTACAATGAGCATCATGGTTGCCATAGCAACCATAATTTATTATGAATAATATGCTAATTACTATCAAAATCATCATAATGAGCATCATAGATGCCATGGCAACCATCTTTTATTTAGATTAATACGCTAGTTATGATCAAGATCATCATAATGATCATCATAATTCCATGGCAACCATCATTTTTTATGATTAATATGCTAATTATGGTCAAAATCATCATAATGATCATCCTGGTTTTCATGGCAACCATCATTTATTATGATTAATATGCTAATTCTGATCAAGATCATCATAATGATCATCATAGTTGCCATAGCAACCATCAGTTATTATGATTAATTTGCTATTTATGATCAAGATCATCATAATGATCATCAATTTGCCATATCAACCATCATTTATTATTAATAATATGCTAATTATGGTCAAAATCATCATAATGATCATCATGGTTGCCATGGCAACCATCATTTATTATCATTAATATGCTAATTCTGATCAAAATCATCAAAATGATCATCATGGTTGCCATAGCACCCATAATTTATTATAATTAATATGGTAATTAAAATCAAAATCATCATAATGAGCATCATAATTGCCATAGCTACCATCATTTATTATGATTAATATGCTAATTATGATCAAGATCATCATAAAGATCATCATGGTTGCCATAGCAACCATATTTTATTATGAATATTATGCTAATTATGATCAAAGTCATCATAATGAGCATCATGGTTGCCATGGCAACCATCATTTATTATGATTAATATGCTAATTATGATCAAGATCATCATAATGATCATCATAGTGGCCATATCAACCATCATTTATTATGATTAATATGCTAATTATGATCAAAATCATCATAATGAGCATCATGGTTGCTATGGCAACCATAATTTATTATGATTAATATCCTAATTACTATCAAAATCATAATAATGAGCATCATAGTTGCTATGGCAACCATTTTTTATTAAGAATAATATGCTAGTTATGATCAAAATCATGATAATGATCATCATAGTTCCATGGCAACCATCATTTATTATGATTAAAATGCTAATTATGGTCAAAATCATCAAAATGATCATCATAGTTGTGAATCCAAGCATCATTTATTATGATTAATATGCTAATTATGATCAAGATCATCATAATGAGCATCATAGTTGCCATAGCCACCAAAATTTATTATGATTAATATGCTAATTATGATCAAAATCATCATAATGAGCATCATGGTTGCCATACCAACCATCATTTATTATAATTAAAATGCTAATTATGATCAAGGTAATCATAATGATCATCATGGTTGCCATGGCAACCATCATTTATTATGATTAATATGCTGATTATGATCAAAATCAACATAATGAGCATCATGGTTGCCATAGCAACCATCAATTATTATGATTAATATGCTAATTATGATCAAGATCATGATAATGATCATTCGGGTTGCTATGGCAACCTTAATTTATTATGAATAATATGCTAATTATGATCAAGATCATCATAATGATCAGCATAGTTGCCATGGCAACCATCATTTATTCTGATTAATATGCTAATTATGATCAAAATCATCATAATAGCATCATGGTTGCCATGGCAACCATCATTTATGATGATTATTATGCTAATTTTGATCAAAATCATCATAATGAGCATCATGGTTGCTATGGCAACCATAATTTATTATGATTAATATCCTAATTACTATCAAAATCATAATAATGAGCATCATAGTTGCTATGGCAACCATTTTTTATGAAGAATAATATGCTAGTTATGATCAAAATCATGATAATGATCATCATAGTTCCATGGCAACCATCATTTATTATGATTAAAATGCTAATTATGGTCAAAATCATCAAAATGATCATCATAGTTGTGAATCCAAGCATCATTTATTATGATTAATATGCTAATTATGATCAAGATCATCATAATGAGCATCATAGTTGCCATAGCCACCATAATTTATTATGATTAATATGCTAATTATGATCAAAATCATCATAATGAGCATCATGGTTGCCATACCAACCATCATTTATTATAATTAAAATGCTAATTATGATCAAGGTAATCATAATGATCATCATGGTTGCCATGGCAACCATCATTTATTATGATTAATATGCTGATTATGATCAAAATCAACATAATGAGCATCATGGTTGCCATAGCAACCATCAATTATTATGATTAATATGCTAATTATGATCAAGATCATGATAATGATCATTCGGGTTGCCATGGCAACCTTAATTTATTATGAATAATATGCTAATTATGATCAAGATCATCATAATGATCAGCATAGTTGCCATGGCAACCATCATTTATTGTGATTAATATGCTAATTATGATCAAGATCATCATAATGATCATCATGGTTGCCATTGTAACCATCATTTATTATGATTATTATGCTAATTTTGATCAAAATCATCATAATGAGCATCATGGTTGTAATGGCAACCATCTATTATTATGATTAATATGCTAATCATGATCAAGATCATCATAATGATCATCATAGTAGCCATACAAACCATCATTTATTATGAATAATATGCTATATATGGTCAAAATCATCATAATGATCATCATGGTTGCGATAGCAACCATCATTTATTATGATTAATTTGCTAATTATGATCAAGATCATCATAATGATCATCATAGTTGCCATTGCAACCATCATTTATTATGATTATTATGCTAATTATGATCAAACTCATCATAATGAGCATCATGGTTGCCATTGCAACCATTATTTTTTATGATTAATATGCTAATTATGATCAAAATCATCATAATGAGCATCATGGTTGCTATGGAAACCATAATTTAATATGATTAATATGGTAATTATGATCAAGATCATCTTAATGATCATCTGAGTTGCTATAACAAGATTTTTTTATTATCAATAATATGCTAATTATGATCAAAATCATCATAATGATCATCATGGTTGCCATGACAACCATCATTTGTTGTCATTAATATGCTAGTTATGACCAAGATCATCATAATGAGCATCATATTTGCCATGACAACCATCATTTATTATGATTAATATGCTAATTATTATCAAGAACATCATAATGATCATCATAGTTGCCATGGCAACCATCATTTATTATGATTAATATGCTAATTATGATCAAAATCATCATAATGATTATCATGGTTGCCATGGCAGCCATAATTTATTATGATTATTATGCTAATTATAATAAAAATCATCATAATAAGCATCATGGTTGCTATAGCTACTATCATTTATTATGATTAATATGCTAATTACGATCAAAATCATCCTAATGGTCATCATAGTTGCCATGGCAACCACCATTCATTAAGATTAATATGCTAATTATGAGCAAGATCATCATAATGATCATCTTAGTAATATGCTAATTTTGATGAAAATCATCATAATGAGCATCATAGTTGCCATTGCAACCATCATTTATTATGATTAATATGCTAATTATGATCAAGATCATCATAATGATCATCATATTGGCCATAGCAACCATCATTTATTATGATTAATATGCTAATTATGATCAAAAACATCATAATGATCATCATAGTTGCCATGGCAACCATCATTTATTATGATTAATATGCTAATTATGATCAAAATCATCAAAATGATCATCATGGTTGCCATGGCAACCATAATTTATTATGATTAATATGCTAATTACTATCAAAATCATCATAATGAGCATCATAGTTGCCATGGCAACCATCTTTTATTAAAATTAATATGCTAGTTATGATCAAGATCATGATTATGATCATCATAGTTCCATGGCAACCATCATTTATTATGATTAATATGCTAATTATGATCAAGATCATCATAATGATCATCATAGTTGCCATGGCAACTATCATTTATTATGATTAATATGCTAATTATGGTCAAAATCATCATAATGATCATCATAGTTGCGAAGGCAACCATAACTTATTATGATTAATATACTAATTATGAT